GCGGCCGGTGCAGGTAGAGGTGACAGTTCTTGGGGCGTCGTCGGATCCCCGGAGTTTTTTTTGCCTCGAGGGGTGCCTTCCAGCAGCCGCGCCGCAGCGAGGGCTCTCTGGGGGTGCCCGGGCTGGCCCGAGGGGCCGACGGAGGCTGGAGCCGTGGCCCGAAGGCCGTCCCGTCCAGGGCCCAGCGGCGCGCCCTGCCAAAGGGGGCGGGGCGGAGGAGGGGGCGGTGATTGCCGCCGCGGCTCCTGCCGGAGAGGCCTCGCCGCCACGGCCGGGTGCTCCTCTCGGGGAGCCCGGTCAGAGCGTGCCCTCCGGAGAGGTCCGTGGAGCAGCGGGCTCGGTGTGCCACGTGCACAAGGCCCAGACATCCGACGTTCCGATTTTTTCGAGACACGAGCCCCCAACCTCCCGACCACTTCCCCGGGACCGGTTTTTCATCCCGAGTCGTTTTTTGACGGTCCCGAGGCCCGGCGAGGGCCTCCAGGGGCCGAAAACGATGAAAAACCTTTGTCTCGATTTTTTCGAGACGCCCGATGTCTGGGGAGCAGCGGGCTCGGCGTGCCACGTGCACAAGGGGGAGGGGGAGCCACAGGCCTCCCGGGCGAGCGGAGGCCAGCCCCCCCCCCCCCCCGAGGCCAGCCACGGAGGCGGGCGGCCTCCTGCCCAGACCCCTCGGCAGACTCCAGGGCAGCTCAAGCCAGACGCCCCACAGAGCCGACGCCCTCCCCAAGGATTATCATGAGATTCGACGTGCCGTTTCGCCCCCTCCCCAGGGGGGGGGCTCAGAGAGGGCAGGGAGGGCCAGGCCGGGATTCTCCAGAATGACAGGGCCTGCGAGTGACCTTCGTCCGATGCCGCCTTGCAGTGCCATTTGGACTGGAGGGCCCCTGGAGGGCGAAAGCTGCCAGCGTTTGGCTCACCAGCCACATCAGCATCCGTGCAGGCTTCATTCGCCGCCCGCTCGACTGCACAGTGTCGAGCGGGTTGGCTGGCGTTGCCGATGTTTTACATCTGCCGGCTTTCCCTGCAGGTGCTTATTTCCAGCGTCTCCTGCCATTCGCCCACCAATGGTAGGTGTGGTCACTTGTGTGGTGAGCCGTTGAGGCCAAAAAGAAGTGCAGGCTTGATTCGGGGGGGAAGTGAGAAGGAGCAGGCATTCTCCGAAGGCGGCGGGACTCCTGAGAAGCCCTCGCGCCTTCTGCGAAGCTTCCCGTGTCTTCTGGGGAGGCTCAGAAACCCGATCGGCGGACGGGCGCCGTCGCTGCGCGGACGCCCGCCGCTGCTCGACGACTCCGACGACCACGCCGCCGACGACCACCACGACAACCACGACGACCATCACGACGACGATCAAAACCATCACAACCACGACGACCACGAATGCAACCACGGCGGCAGCCACAGCGACCGCCGCCGTCGTCGTCGTCGGCGTCGTCGTCGGCGTCGTCGTCGGCAGCGGCGGCGGCGGCGGCGTCGGCGTCGTCGGCGTCGTCGTTGTCGTGGGGGGGCCACGTCCCAGCGAGTCCGAGTCGGGCTCGCTGGGGCGTGGCCCGCTCCCTCGTGCAGGGGCAACGACAGGGGGGAGGATAGGCACAGGGCGGGACGAGGTTTTCGGTTCGAGGTTTGCGGGCGTCTTGGTCGGATCTCGCCAATCTTTCGACCTCGGGATGCTCTCCAGCAGCTGCGCCTCGCCGAGGGCGTTTCGGGGGTGCCTGGATCATCCCGAACGGCCGCCGGAGGCCCGAGTTATGGCCCGAAAACAATCGGGGACTGGGATCAGGCACAGGGGGGGATGCATCGACCCCCAATCGCCCACTGATCGCCGATAGGGGGCCCGATAGCCCCACCCCGCCCAGGAGCGCGCGGATTCGCTATCGGGGGCCCATTGCCGATCTATCGGCGATGTATCGCCGATTCCAGGTCGATGTTCCCCCCCCCATAGAGTGGAGGCCAGTCCACAAGAAACCTTCCACAAGAAACCCAACCCAGAGACCCCAGGACGTCCACTGATTTTTGATGTGGGAACGTCACGCTTCCCATCGAGAAAGCAATCGAAACCCAAGAAACCCAGGGCACCCTGGAGGCAAGCAGGTTGTTTCTTGGCATGGGTCTCCACTGTATGCCAGTCCCCCCTATCGTTGCCTCTCATCGTGGAGGGGCGGAAGGGCGCCTGTCGTCGTCGTCGTCGTCGTCGTCGTCGCCGTCGTCGTCGTCGTCGTCGTCGTCGTCGTCGTCGTCGTCGTCGTCGTCGTCGTCGTCATCGTCATCGTCGTTGTCGTCGGCGGCGGCGGCTTCGTCGGCGTCGTCGTCGTCGGCGGCGGCGGCGTCGTCGTCGACCTCAGGTTCTGCAGCCGCCGCCCGCCGCTGTTCCCTACCGAATCTCTCCGACTCCCTGCCTCGCTGTGCTGCGGGGCGAGGGAGATCGAAGGGGAGCGCGGCGGGAACCGTTGGCCTGAACGAGATGGGTACGGAAAGAATGGGTACGGGTACGATGCTGCCCGCGCCGCCACGGATGACCTCCATTTGAGAGAAGGCAGCCTGCCCAACAGCGGCCGCTGTCGGTTTTATTCGACATCTGCTGTTGGGCATCGTACCCCTTTTTTCCGCACCCCTTTCGGTCGTCCAGATTTAACGGTCTCGGGCTCGTGCTGCTCTGACCTGGGTCAGCCGGTGCCTATCAGTCGGTCGTTGGCACTACGGCTTGATGGATGTTTAACACTGAGGTTTTTTTCTCCGGTGATCAGTTCTGGGCCATCTGCACCAGGCGCGATTTCTGGACTTGCGAGCGCGAAACGAACATGATGAAAATGGGCTTCCTTCACACTCCCCTCCTCCCCTTCCTTCTCCCGTTCTTCCTCTGTCAGGTGGCGGAGACTGCCGAGAAGGAACTCCTTGCAGACGTGGAGGCAGCGACGAGGAAGCACAACGAGGACGAGGTCGTGCTGAAGGCGGGGCCGTCTCCCACCCCCCCTGGGTCTCGTGGGAGGGGGGATGTACAGAGGGGGATGAAGAGAGGAGGCGGAGGAGGGAGGAGGAGGAGGAGGAGGAGGAGAAGGAGGAGGAGGAGGAGGAGGAGGAGAGGGCCAGGGCGGGAACAAAGAAGAGGACGATGGGAAGGGGACGAGGACGAGGAAGGGGAGGGGGAGGTCGAGCGGGAGGAGGAATACGGAGGATAGGAAGGCTTGGGAGGAATCGTAGGAGGAGGATTCGGTGTGAATGTAGGGGAAGGGAGAGCGATGTGCGATCCCCGATCTCCTCGTTTGGTGTTTGTCATTGCTTGCTTCAATGTTTGTTGCCTTGCTTGTGTGTGAAGGTACCTGCTTCACCGCTGTGCTGCATTTGCTCTCAGCACCGCAGCGCATCATACAGTGGTGCGCGGGTGCATGCCGCACCAATGCATCGAAGACACGCCATCGTAGCGTTTGATTCAGCATCCTTATGCACTTGGTTCGTGGGTCCCTCAAATTCTCCTCATCTCCTGCTCATCCATCTGCTGCTAATATCCTGCCCTACCTCTTCCTAGGAGGAGGGCGGCGGCGGAGGGGGAGGAAGGAGGAGCCAGATCAGGAAGTGGAGATTGTCGTGCAGGCTTCTCAGCACCTTTTTCCCCCTAATCTCCCATTCCTCTTCCTTCCTCCTCCTTATCCCTTCCCCCTCGCTTCCGACTCAGTGGCGCTTCAGTTGGCGTGCACCTGATTGTCCTTCTCCCTTGCCATTGCCGTTCTCCTCGTCGCCGTCTTCCTTCTCCCTCGTCGTCCTCGTCCTCGTCGTCGTCGTCATCGTCGTCGTCGTCGTCGCCTCCTCCTCCTTTCCCCCTCCCCCTCCTCCCTCCCGCCACGCCAGCAGAAACTCGACTCCCTGGCGGCGGAGCTGCCCCAGGTCCAGAGAAGGCTGGACGCGCTCAGCCTCAACCAGCAGATGCCCGAGGCGGCCAGAGGAGAGAGGAACACGTGGGAGGAGGGAGGGAGGAGGGATGCAGCAGAAGGAGCAGGAGGAGGTCGAGGAGAAAGAGGAGGAGAAGGATGAGGAGGAGGATGAGGACGAGAAGGATGAGGAAGTGCAGGACGGGTGGCATGAGGGTGGTGATGATAATACGTGATGGCGGCCAGGATTTCGCTGCTGATGACTACTGCTGTGATGATGATGGTGATGATGCTGCTGCTGTTGCTGCTGATGATGATGATACTGATGATGACGATGATGCTGGTGGTGGTGCCGATGATGGTGATGATGGTGGTGATGATGACGACGAGGATGTTGATGGTGATGGTGTTGACGACGACGATGATGATGCTGACGACGTTGATGACGATGATGCTGATGAGGATGATGATGGTGATGATGCTGATGCTGATGATGATGATGATGAAGCTGATGACGATGATGCTGTGAATGATTTTGCTGCTGGTGCTGATGAGGCTGCGGATTATGATGATGCTGATGCTGAAGCTGCTGACGGTGATGATCATGCCAGTGATCCCGATGATGGTGATGTTGGTGATGACGTGGTTGATGGTGAGGGTGGCGATGATCATGATGATGGCGGTGGTGGTGGTGATGACGATGGTGGTGCTCATGACGATGATGATGGTGGTGAAGGTGGTCGGGAGGGGTGTGAGGAGGAATGCGATGCTCAGGATGAGGAGGAGGAGGATGGTGGTGACGCTGCTGGTGCTGATGCTGATGCTGATGCTGATGATGCTGCTGCTGATGATGATGCTGATGATGGTGATGTTGCTGATGATCATGATTGGGATTTGGGTGATGATGTGGTTGATGCTGAGGATGGTGATGATCGTGATGGTGGTGGTGGTGGTGTTCATGACGATGGTGGTGCTGACGACGATGATGATGAGGATGATGATGATGCTGATGCTGATGATGATGATGTTGATGCTGGTGAAGTTGATGATGCTGGTAATGATGATGGTGATTATGACAACGAGGATTCTGATGGTGATGCCGATGACGACGCCGACGACGATTCTGATGCCGATGATGATGACGATGAGGATGACGATGACGATGGTAGTGATGACGATGATGCGGATGATGATGTTCCTCATGATGATGATGTTGATGATGATGGCGATGACGATGACGAGACTGATGATGATGATGATGATGATGATGATGATGATGATGATGAGTATGATGGTGGTGGTGATGATGCCGATGCTGATTATGAGGATGATGATGCTGATGATGATGATACTTCTGATGATGATGATGATGATGATGATGATGATGATGATGCGGCTGCTGTTGCTGATGATGATGATGATGATGATGATGCTGATGATGATGATGATGATGATGATGATGATGATGATGATGATGGTGGTGGTGGTGATGATGATGCTGATGATGATGATGATGATGATGATGATGATGATGATGATGGAAAGGAGGAGGAGGCGGAGGAGGATGAGGAGGAGGAGGAGGAGGACCAGTGTATACACCCTCCCTCCAAGCTCCCTCTTCATAGGCCCCTGCAAGGATCCACCTCCACTGAGGGAATTGCTCCGTTTGGTGAGGCAACACTGATAATCTTGAGGCGTGCCAGAACGCCATTCTCATGACTTCAACGCCACCAGTCATCATGACCGTTACGTCTTGGCGATCCTGACTCGCACCAGAACGCCATTCCTAGGTCTTCAACACCGCGAATCAACGTAACTGTGGCGCCCTTGCAAGCCCGACTCGTTCCAAAACATGATTGCTGGTACGTTAAACCGTGAGAACCAGTGAACTTTCTGCATTGTTTGAAACGATTGTGCGCGGCGCTACGGCGAGAGTCACATTTTTACATGGAACCGCCCTCAATCCGCGAAGCTTTAGCAAATGTTTGAAACGAATGTGCGCGGCGCGGAGGCGAGAGCCACATTTTGAAAACGACCCGCCCTCAATCCGTGAAGCTTTTGCATCTTTTTCCGAATGTGCGCGGCGCTAGGGCGATAGCCACATTTTGAAAGCGACCTGCCCTCAATCCGTGAAGTTCTTGCCATTGTTTGAGACGAATCTACGTGGCGCCGAGGCGAGAGCCACATAAAAAAACACCATCCTGAAGCCGTGAAACCCATTCGATTTTTTGAAACGAGTGTTCGAGGCGTTATCGCGAGAGCCACATTTTGAAAACGACCCGCTCACCATTCGTGAAACTGTTGTCATTGTTAAAGCTTCAGTGTCGTAAATGGTGAGGAAGTCTCAGGCGAAACGCCCCGCCCATCCTCCCGACCGGCCTCGGGTTGCGACAGTTAGTGGTTGTTTATAAGGACAAGGAAGTGTGGAGGAGGAGGAGGAGGAGGAGGAGGAGGAGGAGGAGGAGGAGGAGGAGGATGAGTAGGTAGAGGAGGGCAGATCTCCTTTCCTGGGCGAGACTCCCAAGCAGAGGTGCTCTGCTTCCCCCCCACCTCCTGATCCTCCGTTATCCTCCTCCGCTTGCTGCTCTTTCTTCTCATCCCCCTCATCATCATCACTCTCATCTTCCTTGCTCTTTCTCTTGGACCTGCCGTTTCGGAGGCGGGCCACTGGCGTAGTCCTTGTCCTAGCTCTTCTCCTCGTCTTTACTTTCTGTCCTCATCATCCTTCTGTTGCTTGAGGACCACCCGTCGGGCGATTATGAGTATGTTTGTTTGGTGGTTGTGGGGGATGGGTGCAGCTCTCGGTGCGATTGGTGTCGGACCGGATTCGCGATCTGTCGGTCAATCGATCTATTTCTTCCCATCGATCAGTCCAGACTATCTGACATTCGAGCCGATCGATCCATCTCTATCTCTCGATCTCACTATATCTCTATCTCTGTCTATCACTATGTATAGATCGGTTTCATGAACGGACCTGGATATATGTATAGACGGGACAACCACGGGATAACCGCGGGACAACCGCGGGACATCCATTGAGTCACCCGCGAGGCAACCACGGGACCAGACGAGGAGCAGGAGGAGGAGAAGGAGGAGGAAAAGGAGGAGGATGAGGAGGAGGAAGAGGGAGGAAGGGAGGGAGGCAGGGAGGGAGGGAGGGGGAAGTATGGATGTATGTATGGATGGATGGCTGATGGATGGATGGAGGGATGATGGAGATGGGAATGATGTGGAGGGATGAGGCGAGAGGAGGAGGAGGAGGAGGAGGAAGGGAGGAGGATGGCGGAGGAGGAGGAGACGGAGGAGGAGGAGCAGGAGGAGGAGGAGAGGAGGAGTAGGAGGAGGAGGAGGAGGTAGGAGGATGGCGGAGGAAGGAGGAAGGAGGCGGAGGAGGAGCAGCAGGAGGAGGTGGAGGAGGAGGAGGGCGGAGGGCGGGCGAGGAGCCTGCGAGTGCAGGCGGCGGCCCGAGCCTCGGCCCCGCGGCCCCCCCTCCCCGCCCCCCTGGCGGCCAGGCGGCCGGGGACGTGCACTCCGTGCCCGCGCCCCTGCACGGGCTCCTGGAGGCGGCGCCCGCCGCGGCCGCGGCCGCCGCCGCCGACGACGCCGACGACGACGACGACGACGGCGGCGGCGACGACGGCGACGACGCCGACGGCGGCGGCGACGACGACGTCGGCGACGACGACGACGACGCCGCCGCCGAGTACGACGGCGGGCGACGGCCGGGGGGGGGGGGGGGGGGGGGGGGGGGGGGGGAAAACCGACCGACGGCGGCGACGACGACGACGCGGCGCCGCCGCCGCGCGACGACGACGACGACGGCGGCGGCGGCGGCGGCGGCGGCGGGGGCGACGAGGATGCGGCGGCGGCGGTGAGGGTGGCCTGGGTCGGGCCGGACGACATTGGGGGATAGGGAAAGGGGGGGTCACGAAATCTGCTGCGTGCAGCTGGCTTCGGCCCCGCCGTCGGGCCCATTCCTCGATGCGTGGGTGGGCGCCTCCCAGCGCCGGGAGGCGCCAGGCGACGCGAGCTGAGTCTCACCCCCCCCCCCCTTTTGCTATCCCCCCCCTTTCGCCCGGCCCGCCTGGGGGTTGTGGTGTCGGCGGGGCGGCCCGCGGCCGCGTTTTCCCCGCACGGGGCCCCCCCCGCCGGACAGGGCCCCTCCCCGCGCGGCCCGCGGGCGGCGGGCGGCCCCCGCCAACGGGGCGGTCCTCGGGCGGCGTGGCCGGCGTCCTGAAGGCCGTTTCCAGGCGCTCCCGGTGGCCGTCGGTGGCCATCGGAGGCCTGCAGGGGGCCGAGGAGCCAGCGCTGCAGGAGCCTCAGAAGTGCGCACGTCAGAGGCCTCGGGCTTTCTGTGATCGAGCGTCCTGCAGATGCTCTACCCGCGCGCGCTGCCTGGAGTCGTAGGGCAACCACCTGACTGTGGCAATCTCGTCCTGACCCCCCTCTGATTGTTTATCTCACCACGCGATGTATCCGCGTTGATCCAGCATGCGCCCAGCGCGCGAATCCGTGTCACATACCACGGTGCCATGCGGGCCACATGCGCACGCCGCCATGCGCGCGGGCCGAAATCCTTCCAACACCATTGGTTTTCGAAGCACTTCAAAATAGAGCCCCTCAAACACACACACACACGCATATTAAGTACTACGGGTTGTTCAACCACAAGACTGCCAGGTTTCTTGCATTGCCTCGCGCGCGCATTTCCTCACCATCACCATCATCAGTGCCGCCAGACCACGTCGTCGTCATCGACAATCGCCGTCGTTGCCGCCATCATCACTCATACACCTTCATCACCGACACATGGGCATCCTCATCGTCATCGTTGTCACCAGCATCGGCGCCGTCATTGACCATGGCGGCGTCATTATCATCATCTTCACCACCATCGCTACTATCATCATCGTTGCCCTCGTTGTCGACGCCATCATGACACCGCGCCCGCCCCAGTCACCGACCCGCCTTGAAGTGCATGCGCGCCAGCACGGCCTTTAGAGACGCTTGGAAGTTGCCATGGGTAAGCGCCATCGCGGCTGCATCGGTTGTTCCAAACCAGTTGGTCGCTTTGCGTGCGAGCTTGCGCGCACTAGCGCAGCGACAGAAATGCCGCAGTCGCTGCCGTGTGGGCTGTGCAAATTAAGTCACGGGTGGGAGGGTGGGATGAATGCGCGAGCAGTGGAGTTGACAATTCGTTAGTGCGCATTCGTTAGTTGCACCACCTATGCTGCACCACGTAGTTTGCACCAAATGGCTTGCATCATACGGCTTACACCACCTAGCTTGCACGGCATAGCTTGCCCATCCAGTGTGCAAACTATGATATACTGGGGTGCTGGGGGCCTGGGCTCCAGGCCGGGACACCTTCCGGATTCCTCCCTCTTTTGGGACACCCCCTTTCCGCGGCTTCCCCGGCCTTTCTCCGGCCGCCTAAAACTGCTCGGCGGTGCGCGAGTACGCGACAAGAGCGGCGCAAGGGGGCCCCAGGGCGGCTCGAACTTCCCAGAATTGGCCCAGAGGCACGGCCTATGAAGGCTCCAGTCTGCCCCCCAAGAGAGCCAGAGGGCTCCAAGACGACTCGGGAGCGCCCTAAGGGAGCCCGACCGCCCAAGAGCGTTCCAAGATGGCCTGAGATGGCCTCCAGACGGTCCAAGAGGGCCCCAAGACGGCCCAAGAGGTCCTCAGGAGGACCCCCGGGAGGGCTTCAGAAGGCCGAGAACATTGGTTCTCTATTTTTGATAAGAGGATGTTTCTTTACAGTTTTCTTTCTTGGGGGCCAAGGACGGCCCAAGAGGGCCCCCAATATCATCCCAAGGTGGCCCCAGAAGCCAAGAAGGCCCGAAGACGGTCCACGAGGACCCCAAGACGGCCCAAGAGGGCCCAAACGGCCAAGAGGACCCCAAGACGGCCCCAAGAGAGCCCCAAGATGGCCCTAAGAGGCTTCCAAGAGGCCCGAAGAGGCCGCCAAGAGAGCCCCAAGACGGCCAAAGTTCTCCAAGATGCCCGAATACGGCCCAAGAGGGCCCCAAGACGTCCCAAGAGGGCCCCAAGACGGTCCAAAAGGGCCCCCCAAAGATTCTCAAGAAGCCGCAGAGACGCCAAGTAACACCATGGCTCCCAACAGCAAGGGGCGACGAAAGAAGCTCTGAACACCAAGGCTCCCCAGAGCGCGGTGACGTAAACATCTCTTAACAGCAAGGCTCCCAAGAGCGAGCGGCAACGTAAGAGTCTCTGAACACCAGGGCTACCAACAGAGAGCTGTGACGTAACAAGGTCTGAACACCAAGGCTCGCCAGAGCGCGGTGACGAAACCATCTCTTAACAGCAAGGCGCCCAAGAGCGAGCGGCAACGTAAGAGTCTCTGACCACCAGGGCTCCCAACAGAGAGCTGTGACGTAACAAGGTCTGAACACCAAGGTTCCCCAGAGTGCGGTGACGTAAACATCTCTTAACAGCAAGGCTCTCAAGAGCGAGCGGCAACGTAAGAGTCTCTGACCACCAGGGCTCCCAACAGCGAGCCGCGACGCAACAAGCTCTTGACACCAAGGCTCCCCCGAGCGCGGTGACGAAAACATCTCTTAACAGCAAGGCTCCCAAGAGCGAGCGGCAACGTAAGAGTCTCTGACCACCAGGGCTCCCAACAGAGAGCTGTGACGTAACAAGCTCTGAACACCAAGGCTCCTAAGAGCGAAGGGTGCCATGAGCCATCTCGGAAAAGTTCTCGAAGCGCTCTTTGTGTTCTCGTGCCGGCCCACGTTTGACGCGCCGTTGACCAGATGGGCCATGGAATTCCCGTCTTTAGAAAGCAGGTCAGTGGTCCAGAATGCAGCGGAGGAGTCGCACATCCCTTTCATGCCATCCTTCGGGCTCGAAGACGAAGAGAACGAGGATGCCTTCTGTGTGGCACTGCTGTGTCGTAATCGGAGCCTCCCTTTCCGCTTCTGTGTGGCATTTCCTGAGCCGGTTCAGTCGTGAATGGTGACGGCGGAGATCCATTGACCTGAGGGAGGGAGAGAATGAGGAGCAGTGGGAGGAGGAGGAGGAGGAGGAGGAGGAGGAGGAGGAGGAGGAGGAGGAGGAGGAGGAGGAGCATCTTCAAAAGCGGCCGATCTAGGCTCGACCTCGCAGCAGCTTGTCCAGGCAGAGAGCGCTGATCATCGGGTGCAATTACAGCGACTCGCACGCTCCGCTGCAAGGCGGAAGGGGGGGCATTTGTCCCTTGCACTGGTCTGTCCCTCGTCGTAAGTCGGGCATGTCCCTCTACAGATGTTTGGCTACTTTTGACGATTTTTGACCACCTTTCTCTAGTTTCGAATATTTGTTGACTATTTTTTAGATTTTCGGCCGAAATCCGCCTGTAGGAGTACACGCCCGACCTAACCCTCGTCCTCATTGTCCATCCTCTTTCCTGACGAGTGAGCTCTTCCTCGCTGCACTACGTGCCGTGTCAGTATGGCGGCACGACGTCGTACCTATACGACCGCCCTGCCCTGCGGGCGACAAGGAGGTTGGGGGGGGATTGAGATCAAATGCCCACCCTGACTGACCTCCAGCTTGTCATCTTGATCTCATCTCTCTCTTCCTCTCTGTCTCTCTCTCTCTCACTCTGACTCTCTGTATTGATGGATCGGGTTAGGTGGATTGGAATGGATGGGATAAGATGGATTGGATAAGATAAGATGGGTTGGATTGGAAGACATGGATTGGATAAGATAAGATGGATTGGATTGGCCCGCGGCAGGCGCAGAAACAAATTAATTGATGCATTGGGTTGGGTGGATTGGATTGGGTGGGATAAGATAAGATGTGACAAGATGGGTTGGATAAGATAAGATGTTTTGGATTGGACAAGATGGATTGGATAAGATGAGCTGGATTGAATAAGAAAGCCCGCCGCAGGCGCCGGAAACAAATTGACTGATGAAGTTAGTGACATGCGTTAGCGCCGGGACGCCCGGGACAACCGGGACACCGCCCGGCCCAACTGGGACACCTCCCGGCCACCGGCGGACGGGAAACGGACTTTCGCTCCTACTGACACCCGGGACACCAGGAGAGACCGCCCGGCCCAGAATGGGACACCTCCCGGCCACCGGCGGACTGGGAACGGATTTTCGCTCCTACTTCGGCCTAGCTACGGGAGGATCACGCGCAGCTTCGCCTGTCCGCACGACACGAACACGAACACGAAACCGAAACCGATTTCCCCGTGGGGGGTCGCCGTTTCACTGCGATCTCACCCCCCAACCTCCGACAGAAGCCGTGCTCGGAGCGTCCCTGCAAGTGGCGACGATCGAGCTTTAGCTTTCCAGAAACTGCTCGTGTGGAGGCCGGGTCGTTTTCATCCTGCTGTTGTTGTTGTCGTTGTTGTTGTTGTTGTTGCTGTTGTTGTTGGTGTTGGTGTTGGTGTTGTTGTTGTTGTTGTTGTTGTTGTCGTCGTCGTCGTCGTCGTCGTCGTCGTCGTCGTCGTCGTCGTCGTTGTTGTTGTTGTTGTTGTTGTTGTTGTTGTTGTTGTTGTGGTTGTCGTTGTCGTTGTTGTTGTTGTTGTTGTTGTTGTTGTTGTTGTTGTTGTTGTTGTTGTTGTTGTTGTTGTTGTTGTTGTTGTTGTTGTTGAACATTATTAATTCTAAAGAATAATTATTGTTGGGCCCCTGGTGCACGGCCCCCCTGCGCCGCCTAGGCCGCAGCTACATTTTCATCATTTTCGTGAGGAAGCCTCAGGTAATTCGATGTGATCAAGATCCGGTTGTTTTGTTCCCCCCCGCTTTCCCTTGCAAAAAACACTATAAAATGACATTTCTTGTTCTAATATAATCAAATTTCAAGAATCCTTTGCAAAAAATAAGGTAAAGTGGACATTCGCGCGCGCAAGACGAAATCCTTCCAAAAGCTTAGTGTTCGGAACGATTTCAACATAAAAACATCAAAAAACTAATGGTTTTTCAACAAAAAAATGTCAAAATCTCATCCCGCGCGCTCTTGCGGATTCGTAGGAAACCCAACACTTTTTCAACATTTCTGTCAAACGGGCTTTTGCGAGCAACTTTTTCGAACTTCTGCGACAACGGTTGCGCACCTGCCAGGGCCATCATCCCTGTCAAATAATACCATGCGGGACACATTCGTTTTTTCTTCGCGCGCGCACGCCGAAATCTCCAAAAACCATTGGGTTCTTAAGAATTTTAGCACCGCGCATCATAAAATCACACGAATCGCACCGTAGGTCCTCGAAAAACACCTGCACGACTTTTCAAAATTTCCACCCGCGCGCGCTGTCCGAATCCTAAAAAAAACCAATGGTTTTCCAACATTTATGTTACATGAGCTCGCGCGAGCTACTTTCGCACGCTCTTGCAACGGGGTTCGCGCGCCTGCCAGGGGCCATAATCCCTTGCGGTTGCGCCATAGGTTGCGCCCTCGGCCGCCGAGAATAAAACGCCCCCCTATTGGTTGCGCCATAGGTTGCGCCCTCGGCCGCCGAGAATAAAACGTCCCCCTACTGGTTGCGCCATAGGTTGCCCCAGGAGGCCTTCAAGAGGCCCCAAGAGCCCGCCGTGAGGACCCAATAAGCCCCCAAGAGGCCCCAAGATGCTTCCAAGAAGCCCCCCAAAGCTCAAGAGGACCCCAAGCGGCTCCAGGAGGCTTCCCCCCTACCCCAAGAGGACCCCAAGCGGCCTCAGGAAGCCTCCGACTGATCACTGTCACATCCGTAGCCATCTCGGATCAAGGTATCGCCTGTGTTCTTGGATGGGTCATGGCTTTGTCGGCGAAAACCCTTGACGACCAGTATGGCCCAGAGCTGTCGCGGCCTCCCTTGGCTGACTGCGGCAGCCCGTATTATTTGCATCAGGCGCTCGTTGCAAAGGGTATCCAGGTCAGTCACCAGGCGTGCAAGCTTTGGTGGTGCAAGTATCGGGTTGTGCCTGGCACGGTCAGTATTTCTAGCGCCACGGAGCTGGAGGAGCATCACGGCTCTGCCATCCGCCACCTGGGCATCGAGTATAATACAGCTTTTAAATTATGCGGGGCGCTCCGACAGTTGGATCCACCACTGTATGTGTCAAATAAGGTCGCAACGACGTGGTTACTGCAGTATTCTTCCAAAGAGACGCTTGTCAAAGTGCAGAACGCTGGCCATCTGGAGACCTGGTATGGAGAACGTATTCGCACAGACATGCCCGAGGGGACTACTGACGGGGCCGTCTTGAAGCAGTGGCTCCTGGGACATTTATCTGTATCTGCTGACGCCAGGGTATGTCAGAAGTGGCTCAGCACGGAGTGGGGCGCCAAGGGAGCATTGAATACTGCCCAAGCTGTGGAGGAATGTATAGGCCAGCGTCTTCGACTCAATCAGTATCGGGAGAGCTTCGCCGACGAGGCCGCCGCGGAGGTCCTCTCGCAGATTCTCTCGGAGAGCGACCCTCCCGTCGCTGTCAGCGGTATGGTTTTGAGGCAATGGTACGTGAAGTATCACCCTGACTCCGGACCTTTGCAGTATGACACGGCTGAAAAGCTCGACGCGGCACTTGGTGCCCACATGCGCGCGGTATATCCAGGGCTGAAGTACCACATCTTGCATGCCGTGTTGCGTATGCGACGGAAAGCTGTCTTGGTGTCCCGAGGAGTGTTGAGACAGTGGTGCGATGCGTATGCGTCGGTGAGCTCTTCAGTGCAGGCGACGGCTTCATCCGCCCAGGCCGTCACCAGGCGTGTATTGAAGCGCCCGGCGGCGCGGGTCGCAGGCGGGGTATTGAAACGGCCAGCCGCCGCCGGATCTGCCCGCGTGGCCAAACGGCCTGCCGCGGTCGACTGGGAGGAGCCCGTATCGAAGCAGCAGGCCACGGCAGCTTCTTCCTCCACAGATGTGGTTTGTATAAAGCTGCTGACGGGGGATGCTGTAGAGGCGGCATGCGGCAAGCGGTATCGAGAGCAGGTCTCCGACTTGGGCCTTGGCCTCACTTACCCGAATATGCAGGTGCGTCTGAAGGCCTGGGGGTATGAGGCGGGTCCATATGCCTTGCGAGAGTGGCTCGGCAAGTATCGACTCGGAGACGGTGCCAAACATGGCAATTGCGCCGTCTACGCGTTGTCGCGCAGGGACCTCCAGTATTGGTATCACGTAGAAGGCTTGAGGGGGCGAGCGCTGGTGGACAAGTATCGCGCGGAGACCGGGGTATTTGCACATTGGGTCGCCCTGGAGAGGTGGCTGAAGGCGCCCTCCCAGCAGCTGGCAACACTGGAGAATGCTGAGGAGATACACAGCCACGTATGCGGGGAGTATGTCCTGGAGCAGCTGCAGAAGGGCGTCTCGGCCGAGGAGGTGAAAAAGCAGTTACTGGCGCAGTATCTCGTGGATTGCAGGACCACGCGGCGGCTCGTAGCGCATCGTCGCTATCGCGAGCAACGTGGCGAATACTGGACCAGCGACCACCTAGAGCAACAGGAGTGGGAGTTCTTGTATTCCTTGGTTTCTCTGGATAGCAAGCTCGGCCACAACTGGGAGGTTGCTTCGCGCTCCCTGCGCGCCCGGGCTAGATCTGGTTTGGAGGCTGTGCGTGTATCCTTATGTCAGCGCTTGGGGGTGGCGGAAGAGTTGGTGCCTTTGCACAATCTATCGGTATTTTTCGGTGCCCACGAACGGCATGCCAAGTTGGCACTCGAGTATCCAGATGCCTTTGTATACAAGGATGTGCTGCCAGGTCCCGTGGTGGAGGCCTACGAGAAGACCTTCCAGGGCCAGGTGCTGCCGAGGACTGCACACGCGTGTATCTCCGACCAAGAGCACGGCTGGTATGCGAGAGCTCGCAGCGTGGCGACAGCTGACCGTTGCATAGTATTCCCGAAAATGGCGGCGGACGCTTGTCTTATTGCTGCGTATGCCATGTTAAAGCAGGAGGTATTTCAGCGACAGTCTTGGTCCATGTCATCACTCACCCGTATCCAAGCCACCTACAAGAAGCAGTATAATCTGACAGACTTTGCGTTCTGGGTGTGCTACGGGAGTTGGTCCGCTTGCGAGGCCTGCGGTTCGTTCTTCTTCAATGACGAGTATTTCTCGAACCGTGTATATCAGGATCGTAGCACGTCGGAACAACCAGACATGCTGGCGGCGTGTGACCAACTATCTTGCGAGTACGTATCATCTCATGTGTGTCGTGCACACTATCAAATGTAACAGAGTTGCGTATTCCCATCATCCCAGGAACTTGACCCAAAAATGTGACCAACTCCGCTCTCTCTGTCTCTCTCTCTGTCTGCTCTCTGTCTCTCTCTCTCTGTCTCTCTGTATTATGTATGGTATGGCACAATTGCACCATGCTGGGCACATGCGCGCCCCGAATAAGTGACCAAGTTCTGTGGGTGTGTACCCCACGCCAGTGTAGTAGCCACGGTCGTCCGCACGCCACGAAGTGAAGTGTCCCAACGTCATAGGGCGGGAAGCTGGGTTTGGGTGGTCGCGAAGAGTCGTTTGGATATTTGGTAGAGCTTGTAATGCCCCCCCACGAAGTGGGGGTATTGCCTGGTGTCGTATGAAAACCCTGGCACTGGGGAGAACACCACGCGTTCGGGTAAAATGATTGTTGTTGTTGTTGCTGTTGTTGTTGTCGTCGTCGTCGTCGTCGTCGTCGTCGTCGTTGTTGTTGTTGTTGTTGTTGTTGTTGTTGTTGTTGTTGTTGCAGCGACGCCGCGCGCGTGCGTCTCAAGCCTTTGAAGCAGGTCCCCACGGAGGGGTGCCGCTTCCTGTGCCGCTCCATCTGCGGCACGGGCATCTCGTTAGATGGCGGTACGCGGAACGAGATATGCTTCAAAACAGGCACACGCGCACGCACATGCACACACTTTTGGCGGGAAGGGAAAACTGGTCAGGTCAGCGCTCCTTCCCCTCTTTCTCCCCCCTCCTCCCTCGACAGGGGCGAGGAAGGAAGGGGGGAGAGGAGGGGCAGGAGCACTGACCTGACCAGTTTTCGATTCCCAATTTTGGCGGTCGCGGCCGCGTGGGAAGCGTCGAGGCGGAGTGAGGTCGGAGCCGGTGCGTGCGCGGCCGGGCCCTGAGGCGGGACCCCTTGTAAGCCCACGCGTGCCCCTCAGCAGCAAGCCATCTGGGCGTGGATGGCAGGGAGGCGACACGCCGCCCAGCGCTGGACCTCACCGGCCTCGAACTTGTCCCTATCCCTAAGATTGACACGCCGAAAGGCGATGGCAATCTTATGGATGCGCCCTCAAAAACTGAGGGAATCCCTAAGATTGGCATCGTGATGGGGCGATGCCCAGCATAGGGATGGGGATATGTTCCAGGCTGGTAAGGACCTCTCAAACGGGGACGTAGCGCGAGAGCGTAGAGGAGGGCATCACCGTCTGGGCTCGGATTGCGGAGAGGTGACTCGCCGCCCGACGCTGGACCTCCCAAGCGGGGACGTGGCACGAGGACGTTGGGCGGGGGAACACCTGTCGAGCGACGGTGGTAGAGTGGTGAGAGTGGTGATACGCTGTACAGCGCAGGAGGTCTGGAGACCCCTGCAGGGAATGACCGCCCCGTGAGGGGGGAATGGGAGGGCTGCCCGCAGGGCGGCGGCATGAGAGGGTTGAAGACAGCAAAAGGGCAGACGAGAGGAAAGGCCGGAGCCCAGGCTGAGTTAACGGCGGGGCCGCCCTCTGCGTCCAGAATGAGCGTGGGAGGCGGGGTGCTTGCGCGGAGCAGCGCCGCCGTCGCCTGGGGGCGACGCAAAGGCAGCGGCAGGGGCGGTGGGGGGAACAGCCAGGACAACCTCCGGAAGGAGGGATCGGATCAGGCTGAGCTGACTGGAGGGGAAGGCGGAGGGCTCATGCGGGTTTTGCCGGGCGGCGGGAGAGGCCGCGGACGAGGCGCACGTGTGCCCCTTCCGCGCTGGCATAGTCGTGGCATTCGAAGCCCTCTTTCAGCCTGGTGGAGGCCCGGGAGACGAGGGCGTGGGGACCCACGCCCGCGGCACAGGCCGGTAAATGACCCAGGCCCGGCGTCTCGCCGTCGGCGTCGCCGCGGGCTGAAGCGGAAGGCCGCTTGCCCAGCGGCGGCCGCTGCTGGTTTGGGACAACATCTGCTGTCGGGCGTTGTGCCAATTTTTCCGGCATTTGTTGTCGGGCATCTGCTGTCGGGCATTTGCTGTCGGGCGTTGCATTGTACCGATTTTCCCGTACCCATTTCGGGCGTCCAGAGCCGGAGGGGGCCCCTTTTCCCGCTGGCCGAGGCCGCCCGGTTCGGGGGGGGGCGCCTGCGGGCAGCGCCCTCCTGCGCAGCGGATGTCGACGGCCCTCGGGAGCGAGGGGTCGGAGGGACGCCAACTATACACCACCACCAGCCCTGGCCAGACACTTCCTGGGCCCTGGATCGGTGCGGAGGTAGAGCAGGGAGGGCAGGGAGCAGGGGGCCCTCCGCCGCAGGCTGCACGAACGACGCCTGGAACGTGCACTGCCTGCTGCGGCACACGCTGGGCTACTCGGACGACCAGGTGGTCTGCCTGATCGACGTGCCCTCGTCACCGTCTAACCGGCTCCGGGGGGCCTGAGTCTTCTCTTTCCAGGGGGATTCCGCGGCCCTATCCTCTCCTGCCTCTCCAGCCCATGCCTTGCCGCATCTCCCCGTGGCTCTCTTGCTCGCCCTCCATTCCCTTGCCCTCCCTCCCCGTCCTCTCCTATCCCTGATCTCCACTCCTTCCTCTCCCTCGCACCTGTCCCCGCTCCCCATCAAACCCTCCCTCCTATCTGCTCCCGCTCCCCATCAACCCTCCCTCTCACCTGTCCCCGCCCCCCTCAAACCCTCATCCCCCGCTCCGTCCCTCCTCTCCTCTCTGCCCATCTCGCCCCCCAGCCTCCACACTCACACCGCGCTCTTCACCGCTCTCCCCGTCGCCCCCCTTCCCCCGTCGAGCGTCGCTCCTGCCAACAGGAGCCTCGACGACGACGACGACGAAGACGACGGCGGAAACGGCGGCGGCGGCGGCGGGCGAACACGACGACGCCAGCGGCGGCGGCGCCGGGGGCTCCGCGGCCCAGGCTTCCGACCAGGGCCAACATACTCTCGGGCCTCCAGTGGCTCACCGCGGACGCCAGGCAGGAGGACCGCGCCGAAGCCGCCTCGTGGAGAGGAGGAGGGCAGAAGATAGGGGGAGGGGGAGGGGGGAGGAGGAGGAGGAGGAGGAGGAGGAGGAGGAGGAGGAGGAGGAGGAGGAGGAGGAGGAGGTGGAGGAGGAGGAGGAGGAGGCCTCTTCCCCCTTCTTCTCCTCTTTCTCTGGGCTTTTGTTTGTCGGTACCCTCATTTACAGCCTTCCGATACCGCCGGTGACCCTTTGTCTCAAGCCACCAGGAACCAGGAACCAGGAGGAGGAGGAGCAGGAGGAGGAGGAGGAGGAGGAGGAGGAGGAGGGTTTTTTGACCTCGACGCTGATGAAGCCATGAGCCTGTCAGCAGAGGCGGGCACGCATCTCGCGGAATATGAGTGAGACAACAGCTCTGCTGGGGCACCTGGGTCAGGAGGGAGGAGGGAGGAGAGCGCAGGGATGGAGTGAGGGGGGGGGGCGAGGGCGGAGGAGGGAGGAGGGAGATCGACAGGGAGGATGGAGGGAGGGAGCAGGGATGGAGCGAGAGGGGAGCGAGGGGGGAGGTAGGGCCACCACGAGGGTGCGAAGCTGTTTCCGCTTCGCGCTTTGCGGTCTGGGCGACGCCAACGCAAGGGGCGGGGGGCGGGCGGGGTGGCGACGCGAGGGCGCGAGGTCTGTTGCCGTAGAGGAGGGAGGATTCTATGATGTTCTTTCTGGCGGGGGCGCTCACGGCGAATCGTCGCCGCCCCGTGCCTTTTGGAAGAGCCTCTATGGCCGAACGTTGCGGCCAGCCAGGCTGTCGGACTACGTGTTCCCCCAGCCGACGTGGACACCCTTCGGAGAACACGGGGGGGGAAAGAAGAAGAGGAGGAGAGGGAGGAACCGGAGGAGGAGGAGGAGGAGGAGGAGGAGGAGGAGGAGGAGGAGGAGGAGGAGGAGGAGAATGAGGCCGTTCGGGAGCCTCTTGGGTCATTCTTGTGACCTCCTTGTTGCTTTCTGGGGGCCCTTGGAGGCCTCTAGGGGGCTTCCTTGGACCCCTCTGGGGACCTTTGGAGGCTCCTGGGGATGTTCTTTGGCCGTCTGAGGGCGTTCCTGGCCCGTCTGACACCGGCGGAAGCCGTCTTGCGGGCCTCTCTGTGCCGATTTGGGCCCTCCTGGGGCGCTTCAGGTCCGTCTTGGAGACCATCTTGGGCGTCTTGGAGGTCTCCTGGGCTGTCTTCCGCCCTCTTGGGGCCGTCTTGGGGTCCTCTTGGGACGTCAGGGGGCCATCTCGGAGGCCTTTTGGGCGCTCTTGGGGCCATCTTGGCGGCCTCCGGTGCCATCTTGCGACGTCGGAAAGCCGATTCTATTAGCAAATGCCAGAATCATTTAACAACCTAAAGCAGATATATGCTGTGTGTCTCTTCGGACCTTCCTGGAGGTCCTCTTGGAGGCCTCTTGGGCCGTCTTGGAGGCCTCTTGGGCTGTCCTGGGCGATCTTGAGGCTGTTTTGAGCCATCGTGAGGGGCATCTCGGCCCGTCTTGGAGACATCTTGGGACCGTCTTGGAGGCCATCTTGGGCCGTCTTGGCCGTCTTGGGCCTCTTTGGGCGACTTAGGGTCATCATTATTGGCCGTCTTGAAGGCATATTTGGGCCATCTTGGGCTCGCCTGGAGCCATCATGGGCGTGTTGGGGGCCTCCTGGTACCGTCTTGGAGGCCATCTTAGACCATCTTGGCCGCCTTGGGGAGATGTTTTTGGGAATCTCTGGTCTCATCGGGTGGCCATCCTGGAGGCCTCTTGGGCGATCTTGAGGCCATTGGGCCATCGAGGGGGGCATCTCGGCCCGTCTTGGGGACACCTTGGGACTGTCTTGGAGGCCATCTTAGGCCACCTTGGCCGTCTTGGAGGCATCCAGCAGCCATCTTGGGCCATCTTGGATGTCTCGGGACAACTTGTTGTGCACGTTGAGGTCTTGACGCGACCCTCCGGGTGGCCAGCGGGATGGCCGAAGGCCCAAGGGGCACGGGAGGCCTTGAAAAGGAACCACACATTATTTAATATTCGGCACGCCGTGCACCCCTGTGGCAAGCCACAGGGGGCGGTGGATCGAAGACGCGGCGAGTCACCGCCGCCCCCCGGCCTTTTAGGATACGCCTATGTGGCCAAACATTTGGGCAAAGCTTGACCACACTATTGGACCATGCGTTCCCCCAGCCGTTGTCGAAGCCCGTCGGGGAGCACGTGGGGGAGGAGAAGTAGGACGAGGAGACGGAGGGAAAAGGAGGATGTGGAGAAGGATGAGACCCCCTGGGAGCTTCTGGGGTCATTCTTGGGGCCTCCCGGGAGCCCTCCTCCTCCCTCTTCCTCTTCCTGCGCCTCCTTCTCGTCATTCTCCTCCTCGTCATCTGGCCGTCTGTTCCATCCCTTCTCCACCCTCCATCATGCCCTCCCCGTCTTGCTCCACGTTTTTCTCGCCCTCCTCCCCCTCCTTCGTCCTCGAACCGACGTGCTACTCGAGGACAGCGTCGCGCTGTTCTTCAGCGGGTACGGCACGCAGCAACCCGTACACGGGACCTTTTATCCTCTCTTCTCGCCGCCGGCACGGTGGGATATGCAGGGGATGGGAGCTGACCCCGAGAGGATCGAGGGGCAGAGGGAGAGCGGAGGGGGAGGGAGGGAGGGAGGGAGGGAGGGAGGGAGGGAGGAGCAGGAGGAGCAGGAGGAGGATGAGGAGGAGGAGGAGGAAGAGGAGGAGGAGGGGAAGGGAGGAGCACGAAGGCGAGGAGGTGGAGGCGGAGCAGGACATCTCTCTCCCCCCTCCCCCTCCATCTCCTGCCCCCGTGGCCGCGATCGTCTGCGGAGGGGGGGGGGGAGAGCGGCATCGTGGAGCCAGGGGGGGGGGAGCAGAACGAGCAGGAGCAATCGCCTCTATCGTGGACAGCAGCCGCCCTTGAGGGCGCCCGTGTGCCCCCGCGCCGATGCCGCTGCCGGCCCCGCGCCCGCCGTGCTGCGGGCCCCGCCGCTTCGGCGCGCTTCGGCGTGGCGGCCGCGCGGGCGCGCGGGCGCCCCCGGGGGCTGCAGCGCGGCGCAGCGCCCCATCGGCCTGGGGCCGCCGCCCTCCTCCTCCTCCTCCTCCTCCTCCTCCTCCTCCTCCTCTGCCTCCTCCTCCTCCTCCTCCTCCTCCTCCTCCTCCTCCTCCTCCTCCTCTGCCTCCTCCTCTTCCTCCTCCTCCTCTTCCTCCTCCTCCTCTTCCTCCTCCTTCTCCCTCCGAGGGAAGAGGGGAGGAAAGCAGACGCGAGGAGGGAGAGGGTCGGCGGCGAGCGACGCGGGGGAGCGAGGAGAAGGTCGGGGGCGGAAAAGAGGGTGGTGGTGGCTAGGGCCTAAGGGGGGGGTGGATGTCATGGCGTGGGCCATGATATTTCCCCAGACTTCGTGGCGCCTCCTCTTAGTTCATCACGTCCCTGCCCCCACCCCCGCTGGGCCGCACGCATGCCGCCGGTCATGATTTGCACCCCCCCCCTCTTGGACACCCCCCTCTTGGCCGCTCCCGGTTTTGTCCCCGGGCGACAGCTGGCGTTGCCGGGGGTGGTCAGCCACGCGCAGAGCGGGGTAGGGGGAGGGGCCGTAGCCGCGTCGTTACAAGAAATCAGGACGGGAACGGGAGGCTTTTCGTCGTTTTCGGTCCTTGGGGGCCCTCGCTGGGCCCCGGGATCGTCCAACAACGGCTCAGGATGAAAAATCGGTTTTGGGGAAAGGTTCGGGACTTCAGGGGACGCCGACTTCCTCTTCCTCTTCCTCTTCCTCTTCCTCTTCCTCCTCCTCCTTCGTCTTCCTCATCCTCCTCCTCCTCCTTCTCCGCGTAGCTGGCGTTTGGCAGATGTCGAGCACACCCCAGTCTGACTGAACAGAACCTACTTTCCGCTCAACACTAATTAGCTGCACAGGCCCATTGGAGGGCCAGGGGGGGAGGGGAATGATGCAGTGACCATGTACCTCCTGCGACTTCGAAGGGCACGACTGCCGCGATGAGAACGGTGTGCTATAACCAACTGGCAGCGAATAATGACGGAGGAGGAGGAGGCGGAGGAGGGGGAGGGGGAGGAGGGGGAGGCGAAGTCGGAGGCGGAAGCGAAGGCGAAGGCAGAGGCAAAGGTTGAGGAGGCAGGCCAGACCAAGCCGACGGGCTCCCAGCGCGGACGGTGTGTACCAGGCGCTCCTGGTGCCCAGCGACTTTGCCGCGGACCTCCCCGAGGGCTTCGCCCTCCCGGACGCCAGGCGCAGAACTTGCCGCCCTCCACCTCCTCGTCTTCCTCGCGCCCCCCCCTCTCTCCTGCCCGGTTGCTTCTGTGCCCCCGCGTGGTTTCGGGCCTCGCTGCTGCTTCGCCTCGCACTCCGGCCCCCTTCGTCGGCCCCCTTCGTCGCTTCCTGCGGCTGTTGTTGCCAGGGAGCTGGCGCTGATGACTTTTAGTCCACGTCCAAGTCACTTCCCCCCCTACCCCCATCCTCCTCTACTCGGTCGGGGCTAGGACCAGGATGCATCGATCCAGAGCTTTCCAGAACTCTCTCAGGGCGTTCTGGAGTGCTCTGGATTTGCAGCGGCGCCCGATGCATCCTCCAGAGCCGCTGCATCCCAGAGATCCCAGATGAGCGACGCGAACAAACGGCTTCGATTGCGCCGACATTCGCGCGTAAGTTGCCCGCGCAGTTAAGGTCGCGCGTAAGCTCCCTCGCTTTCAATGCAGCGTGCCGCGCTGGCAGCCTGCGTAAGCCTCCGCGTAAGGTCGTAGTGTCATCCCGCGTGAGACCCATTTTAGATCGTCGCTCAGATGTATCCTGTCCTGATTTTGTTCCAGTCATGGCTTGGTCTGATCCTCCTTCTGCGGCCTCTCGCCCTCGACTCAACCGCCACACCCCTCTCCATCCTGTCCTCCTGCTCGTCACGGTTCTTCTCTCCTACCACCTCGCCCTCAAAGGGGCCTTTACAGTCCTTGTGTTCTATGTTCCTTCTCCTCGTCCTGTTACTGCTGCTCCTCCTCCTCCTCACAATTGGCTCACCATGTCCTCGTCTTGCCTATTTCACTGAGCCGTTGTCTTGTTCCTGATCCAGTCCTCCTGCAATCTGCGTCCTTTTTGATTCCCCCCAAGCAGTACTTGCACTTGGGGGTTGTTACTTTGCTCTCTTCGGCTCTCGTGGGCGCCTCGGGCGCGGGGTGGGTTCGCCAAGGCTGCGCCTCGTTGCCGCCCGTGCCGCCTCGCTGCCCCTCGTGCGCTGAGCTTACACCACGTAGCTTACACCACATAGCTTGCACCACATAGCTTGCGCGACACAGCTTTAACGACATAGCTTACACCACTTAGCTTGCACGACATAGCTGACACATAGCTTACCCCGCATACCTTTCACCTCCAGCTCAGACCGCATAGTTTGCACGACATAGCAAACCCATATCAGGGTGAGGGGGGGCGAATGGTTTTACATGATCTGTGCGCGCGTGGACGGAGTTTGGGGGTGACGAGTCCAAGGGGCACGCTTTGGGGTCACGCTTCGGTGGCACGCTTGGGGGACGCTGCGGTTCACGCCGGGGAGCCACGACGCCAGGGGGGCACGACGTCAGGTCGCACGCTTGGAGGACGCTGGGGGGCCACGCTGAGGGGGCACGACGCCAGGGGGGGGCACGACGCCATCATGGGGGAGCACGACGCCAGCGGGGCACGACGCCGGGGGGGCACGCTGGGGGCATTCTGGAGGGGGCATGCCGGGGGGTCCACGTTGGGGTGGGCACGCTGGGGGAGGGGAGGGGGGGGGGGCACGCTGGGGGGGCACGCTGGGGGGGGGGGCACGCTTTGGGGAAACGCTTTGGGGAAACGCTTGGGGGGCACGCGGGAGGGGCACGCTGGGGGGGCACACTGGGGGTGGCACGCTGGGCGTGGCACGTTGGGGGGCACGCTTGGAGGGCACGCTGGGGAGCACGGTAGGGGGAAACACGCTGGGAGAGCGCGCTGGTGGAAAACGCTGGGCATCCGCTTAGACGAACCTGCATCGCCCTCCCTCCCTTCTCGGCTGCCCCCCTCGCACGTATCCTGAAGCCTGGCGTGTCCCTCTACGGGAGGAATTTTCGAGCATAGATTCGCGGGCCAGAGGCGTGCTGAGATCTCCGGTAACATCTATATAGTATTTCTACTTCGCGCGCGCGGGGCGGCCCCTGGGGTCCCCGGACCAAAAGTACCCCGGGCGCGGCCCGGGAGACTCCCCCAGGGCTCTCAGGATCGCCCCAAGAGGGCCCAAGAGGCACCCAACACGGTCCAAGAGAGGCCCGAGACGCCTGAAGATCGCTCCACGACGCCGAAGCTGGCATCCAGACGGCCCACGAGGCCTCCAAAATGGCCCTGGAGGCCTCCAAGATGCCCCAAGAGGCCTCCAGGAGCACTCCCAAGAGAACCCACAGAAGCAAAATTCATTGCTTTTCCCTAGGTTTGGGACAGATTTGGGCGTTTCCACCTTTTCGGCTTCCCGACGCCCCTAGACGGCTCAAGAGGCCCCCAAGATCGTCCCAAGAGGGCCCAAGAGGCCCCCAAGAGGGCCCCCAAACGGCCAAAGACGGCCCAAGACGGCTCCAAGACGGCCCAAGAAGCCCCCAAGACGGCCCAAGAGGGCCCCAAGAATGCCTCAAGAGGGGCCACAGCAAGGGAACACGAAGCAAAATCTCGAACTCTCGGCCCTCAGAGGCCCCCAGGAAGCCCCAAGAGGATCCCAAGAGGCCCCAAGAGGCCCCCAAGACGCCCTCAGGAAGTCCCCAAGAGGCCCCCTAGAGGCCCCCAAGCGCCCTCAGGAGGCACCCCAAATGCCCCCCGAGCACTCAACCAGCCAGCGATCATCATCCTCCTCCTCCGCCTCCTCCTTCTCCTCCTCGTCCTCCCTCCTCCCTCCTCCATCCTCCCTCCTTTCTCCTTCCTCCTCCCTCCTCCTCCTCCTCCCACCTTCCTCCACCTTCTCCTCTTCCTCTTCCTCCTCCTCCTCCTTACTCCTCCTCCCTCCCCCTCCCTCCCTCCCTCCCTCCCTCCCTCCCTCCTCCTCCGCCTCCTCCTCCTCCTCCACCTCTTCGTCCTCCTCCTCCTCCTCCTGCTCCTCCTCCTCATCCCCTCCAATTTCTCTTCGACGCAATACAAACTCTGCGTTTGAAAGGATGCAGGGGTCCCAGAGAGGGAACACGAAAAACACGTCGAGACACCAGCCCTAAGAGGCCCCCAGAGGCCCCCAAGAGGCCCCCAAGAGGCCCCCAACAGGCCCTTAGGAAGCTCCCAAGAGGCCCCCTAGCGGCCCCAGGAGCCCCCCAAATGCCCCCCCCCCCCCGGCACCCAAGCAAGTGCCAGCGATCAGCCTCCTCCTCCTCCTCCTTCCCCTCCTCCTCCAACCTCCTCCCTCCTCCATGCTCCCTGGGCCTCCATGCTCCCCGGGCCACCCTCCCTCGCCGCCGATCTACATATCCGCCATCCCATCCCCCCCC